TTTAATGAAATAATAACAACAATGAAAATTATTTTACAATGCTATGTACGAGTTACAGCTTGGAGTTGTCTATATTATAGGATAAAAAAAAATTAAAATGACATTGTTGAACTGTATAAATTTTAGGTAAAATACTACAGAATATAATGTCATTTTTACAGCAGAGAATCACCTCTTAACATATTCTCACGTAATAAAAAAAAAAAAATTTACAGCTAAAAAAAATAAATAAGAAATGGTATTAACCTTTCCCAAAAATGATGCTCTTTCCAATTGGCATCAACTTCAATTATAACTCAATTTTTTCACCCGACTGAAAATGAGTAGAAAAAATAAAGGAACTTAGTACGATTCAAACAAACTAGTGCTGACGGCAAAACTCTCTGAAATCTCCGCGGTAAAAAATTGTCTAACCAGACAACAATATAACACGCTTTTACTAACGTAACAAATGCGATCCATTACCGATAAGAAAACTGCTATACGATAAAACAAATAAAAGACAAGTAACGCGCTGGCGCGCTAAGCACTCATGTGTGCGTCTATCCACGAGTCGGCAATGCGTGGCAGTTATAATTCACAATATATCAACATTAATATGTGTTATAGTAGTGAGAACATAAAAAGCAAGGGTGGTTGCGAAATTGCGCGTGAAATGAGCCCACTTATATATTTTCTAGCTCAACTCGCGCGCAACCTCCATAAAATGTATACATATATGAATATATATAAAAATATTACGTGTACGATACTTTGTATAGCACTATGTGGTCCATATATACATATATCAAATACTAAGGCAGTTATTTGTATAAATCGCGCGGGCGCGAACGTACATGCATACGATATAGGATGTAGAGCGTACGTTTATTAAAAGCACATTAACCCAAATATTATACACAACCAAACGCGATATCCATCAAGTAGATAAATATAAAGAGGAGAAAGAGATGAGGAGACAGACGAGCCATCCACACGCGCAGGTCGTGTGTGGGCTTCCTCTCTTTCTCTCCCTCTACTCGTCTCTTTCTCT